CTTAAAAAATGTCAGTGTATTTTTCTTCGCAGAATTTTGAGCTTTGGTACGCTGAGAGCAAGAAAAATTGAATGGATCCTCTTACTCCTAATTGTTTTTTTCTCTTCAAAAAATTCAATAGCTTTAAGTGCTCAGAAAAAATCGCAACATAACGAAACGGCAAAAATGTGATCGATCTGTGAAAAATGAGTGACTACTCAACAGCGACTTTAGGCATCACTCCGCACCTTCCAGCTAACTAACTAGGACGGCATCCCGTCGAATTGGATTTCGGCTGCCAACAAATCAGTCGTGAGCGGTTTTTATGATCGTACCCTCAGGGGACGTCTGTCAGCGTTCAGGATAAAGATACGGCCCACGCAAGGAGGGTATTTGCGAGAACTAAGAAGCGATTATTTCATAGATCTATGTGGTATTTGTGTCTTATTCACATCTGAGCTGCGCCAATCGAAAGTTTGTGCCAAAACAGGACTCGAAGGCCATTGGCCTCCGCAAGTGCGAACAAAATGGTGCTCCTCTGAGCCATAATCTTCTGGGTTCCACTGCAAGTACATTATATCCGGCTTGAATTTCACTTCAATCGGGGCGGGTTGTGAACCCCTGTCAGAAGATGAAAATAGCACTTTTTTGGTAATCAAGCCGTTTTGGACTGGTCACGCAGATTTATAACTACCAATTTGAACTTATTCCCTGAAAATGTGGGCAACATAACCAAAAATACCTAATTTTAAATTTCTTCTCTTCGAACTTTAATAATAAATATCACATTTCCAATAAGTTGTTAAACAAAGATGACAATGCACGAACCGATAAAGTATTTTTATCAACATGATGTTCTGTAAGTTTAAAAGTAACTTACTAGAACACTTGCCTTTCTGTAAAAAAAATATTGGATACTGAAATATTTTGCATAGAATGATTGAGAGTATGTTGCTACAAAAACAGGAGTAATAGAGCTGGTTGAAAGAACTAACCCCAAAAGTAGACGGTATCATAGGAAACCACTTATATTTGCATACAAAGTTCTGAAATCTAGTTAATACGCGCCTCATTTTATTTGCCACCAATGAAGTCGACTTGCGAATTTGTTTGCAGTGGTCAACACCTTTAATGGCCTATTCAATGCGCCTCTTATTAAGTAAGCTGAAAAAAGTACTGGCGCTAATAACTGCTAGTGATTAAGCATATTAGTAACTAACATATTGCTTAAACGAATATTCGTTGCCAAGCCCGGCACGCGTGCTGCCTAATTATAAATTATAAATGCCTACCGCGAAGCCCACAAACTCTAGCAAGTGGTAACGCTTTTCTTTAAGACGAATATTGCCTAGTTAAAGATAACAAGCCAATCAATTAAAAAGAATATGACACTTGGGAGGTCGTTAAACAGTTGGAGAGCAGACAAACTAAGCATGCCACCTGACTAAATTTTTTAAACAAGGTCGATCAATAATTAATCCTTACTTCACGTCCATTCTGGAATTTGCGTGACACAAAACATTCCCAGGGAAGTAAGCCTAGAGTGAACTTCAATTTCCTCTGCACTTTGAAGTTCCCCTGATATTGTTTTCAAGACATACCGTCTACTTCTGCATCGCTATCTACTTTGCTTTGCCTGGAACCTAATCTAAGAAAACCATAAAAAGAACTAGTTTCTAGTATAGGATTTTGCAGAGCCCCTAATTGGTTGACGTATCCGGGTTCAACGTTTGCTCTCTGCTAATCTGCTGCCGTAAAAACGGTGAAGGAATCTATTTCACCAGATCGTAGCGGAAGTACTGATAAATGGTCAACGCGTTGGGCACTTTTTGACCCTTCAACGCATTACCCCCGTAGATAATATTAATAGATACCGTGTTTAAATGTAAGTTTTACATAACAAACTCATATTTTTGTTTTTTTTTCATTCCTATCAAAGTTGATCTCACAACATGTAAACTTGGTTTCGCTCTGCTCAAACTTATTTGTCTGGGGCAACACGTAAATTTCTTCGTATGGCAATGTGCAACCGGGGGGAGGGGTCATTAATTGAATCTTTTTGAGTTTTTTATAGGCGTATGCAGAAACTGGCTCGGGAACCGGTGATTTTGAGAAAAATAACAACCCATCAGATTGTCACTAGGTTCAACTCTTAAGGATTGTCTAATTTTTGTAAAATAAGCTAAAAAAACTGGCCACGTGCTTGGTAGTATCCATCGTTTCATTAAAATTGACTAGAGAGAGATATATATACTTTATTTTTAAAATATAATTCCAAAAGTTTAAGCAAAACGTCCTCCATTCACAAGGAATAAAAGTTGGTGCACAAACTCACAACACCGAGAAATCAAAAGCGATCCATAATTGTCAATGACTACAATTTTCGACATCGTTCTTGGAAAATTCGTCAAATATAGGCCAAATCGGACTGCTTTCAAAGTGGCGCTATCCTCGTGCACTGATGACCCCCATTATAGTTCAAATAAACAAAGTGGGATAAAAAATCGCTTTATGATGGACGAGGTAGGCTAACTGACGTAGAGTTAAAAAAATTACACGCGAATGGAGGGAGGAAAAATGGCGACTCAATTTGAAAAGCGCGCACAAAGTTCATATATCATATTTGATCCTCCCAAACGCACCTCTTGCTCTCACTGGCATCCACATAAAAGTACGACAAGAACAAACCTTTTGATTGGGGAAAACTGAAGGGGCTTTAGTCATTAGAGTAACGTGCGTTCTAGTTTGTTTGCGTGGTTTTAGACTCAAATCAGTTTATGTGTATATGCACCTGTCAATCTTGCCGCCTTTAGTATGTTTAGTTTAAAATTTGTATACACTAGATGTACTAAAGAGAGAATTTGCAATGCTCGTGACTACGCAAACTACCGTATGTCAGTTTGTAACTGCTGGCATATCGGCTTTTCCCAAGAATTTTCTCATAACAGCGGCAGTGAAATCACTGAAGCAAGTGCTGTTTTTTTAGTAATTATTTCTTCCTTGCACTGTGATGATTATGCAGTCATAACTAACTTACTGCAAGAGTATCAATGAGAACTCCCCTGTAATATATGGATTTTACTTGCAGCAAGAGCTGACCATTCGGCTGGACAACGGCAGGAAATGAAATTGTTAACAGGTACTGCGAACCGCAGTGACATGTCGCGGCAAGGGGGGAGGACGTGTGAGTAATTTGGTGAGGCCGGATCACGTGACGCGGTGCGCACACACACACACACATGTGGAATGTTGAGTAACTGGCCTCGGCTACCTTTACGGTGGAAACTGACTTCTAAATGCAACAGCGTATTTGGTCTCTGGAGTACAATGTGCTCAATAGGTTGACGGCGCCGCTTCCGGGTTTTTTAATCCACGCAGCCCATAAACGTCAGCCAGACCAACGAATATATAATTAAAACAGAGATGAAGTAAATCACATTAACAGTCAAAACGAGAATCGGTTGCACATTAGTATTTGGAAAACATTGTAATCTACAGTATGTGGTCGATCTCATGAAATATTAATTTAAATTCTGAAGTTCGTTTTCGGTTAGGAAAAATTAATTAAGTAATGCTGTTTCTCATGCGGCATCGATCTAAGATAGTTCAGATACGCTTGGGTGATTTCTTTGGAATTCACTTTTTTGAACACCTGTAAAAGCCAATGCGATAATACGTGATCCTTTAATTCGTTTGCACTATCCTATTCATTTTCAATGCTCTTATAGAGCTAAAGGATTTCTATAGAAAACACATATACAAATCTTCTCCCGTGTTTAATTTGATATACTCAAAAAGTACCTTTTGGAAAGTTTTTTAGCCCCGAATATTTTGTAGTCCCATCTACTGTTGCAGTTGAGTTTAAAATTAAGATTATATTCTACAGGCTGTAGCATTCCCAGCTAAGGAGGATCAAAAGTGTTTCCCTGCCACTAGGACGATGCCATATAGGACTCTTAAAGTTTAGCAATGGATGTATGAATTCAATTTTGTATTTTCTCTTACGTTATTCACGTTATGCAATCAGAAGAAGCAACTGATGAGCACTCTCGAAATTAATAGATCCAATAAATTCTGCTGTTGACACAATCTTCAAGATGTACACTTAATTATATATTTTAAGAAGAGCGTTACTAAACGCACATATATGATGCTATGTGAATATAACTTACATAGTTTTCAAAAGCTTATAATCAGACACTTTAAAACCGAAAATGCACTTTAATACATTTAAAGAGACCGTGATTTGCGACGAAATCAATACAAGAAAGAATAATTTGTACAGGATTTCTATCAAATATATTTTAATTTATAAGGGCATCTAAAATCAATGTAGAAAATGCATACTATTTAAGTCGTCACTTTATACTGAAAGTTTTACAAAACGGCCGAAGTGAAATGCATTGAGAAGCCGACATCCTAGCACGTCTCAGATATTGTAATCTGCATTGTACTCGGTATTACAATCACAGTTACTTATTCCTTCCTAATCGAAAATGAATTTCAGACTTTTCTTTTACATTTAATGAGATCTTAACTAATATACAATTTCTTGAAGGCCCAGCAACATATAAAGAAGTATAAGGTCTTTTATGTTCTGTTACATGCAGATAATATGTTCTGTCTGTATTGGTAGGGCTTCCATGTTACATCCTTGTGTTAAAGTGCTAGACGATTACTTCTCACAGTATACAGCCAGGAAAGTCATGCACCTGAAAAAATTGCAAGTAATGAGGTCGCAGAAATAATTTTTTATTTCCGATAGAGGAGAATATACGAGTTCCAGGCAGCATGTGCATGTATCACCCTATCTGCGCACGTTTCAGACTGTTCTTCGATTACCTATGATTAAGGATTCCCAAGGGAATCCGAAACGTCAGGAAAATAAAGTCCTTGTTTCAGTGTTCGCATCTTCTTCTTCTGAATTTGTTATTTGTTTCAGCGATCGCCTCTTATTATTTTTCTCCACCGCTTCCTAGATCTCGCCTTTTCGCTGGTGCCAGATGTCCTTATTTAATATTAATTGTCGACCCAACCCCGCCCTCCTTTTGCAAGCAGGTCGATTTCTTCAAAACAGTGAGCGTTCCACGCCAACTATTCCAGAGGAGGACGAAGAGGAGTACGACACAGCTGCCCATCGACAACTTCAGGCACAGGGCTACCAGTTCCAGGAGGCACAAGTAAACATGTCAACCACGCAGGAGTTGGACCAGCTCCTCGATGAACTGCGGATGACCAGCATGAATATCAGTCCCAGTGGTCGTCCTCCCGCCCCCCATCCCTCCTACGGGCACAGCTCACGCAGCAGCTTCAACAACAGCCAACTGAACAGCACCGCATCTCGATAC